AAATAAACCAGATTTATAAAAATTATTACAAGAATTAGAGAAGGATATAATAGATTCTTAAAAAGATTATTTTTCTTTTATTGATATTCCATCTGTAAAATACTTTTATAAAAGTTTAAAGTCAAAACGTGTTAGAAGTTTGAAAGGATAATTTTTTTCATTTAAAAAAAAATTGATAGAATTTATAAAATCAGAAATCAATTCTTTTGAAGTTCCAAAGAAATTTAATATAGCATAATTTGAAAAATGGAATGAAATTTATTTTAGTTTGTATTCAGAATTGTAAAGAGCTACAACAATTGAAGAATCTAATCTTGCTTTTAAAATAATTTAAAATGTTTAACAATTAATATTATCATTTCTTAAATTTAGATGGAATTATCTATATTTATTTTGTGCAATAATTGTAGAAGCAAGATTATAATAAGAAGAATTAGATTAGATTTTAGATATAGCTTATGATATGATGCAAAATACAAATAAAACCAATTTAAATAAACCATTTGATTAAATTTTAGCTTAATTAAATGAAAAAGCAAATACTTAAATTTTATTAGATTATTTTGATAGAAATGGACATATTTCGGGTTATACTTCTTTATAAATGATAGAATCTCTCCTTCCTTATATTAATAATAAATTGATTAAAGTTATGCTAAAAATCAATTTATAACATACATAAAAAATTAGATTGATAAATGAATTAAAAACTTATGAGTTCTAATTAATACATGATTGCAGTCAAAATTTAAGAAATTATCCAAAAATATTTGAGAAATTACATGATTCTATTTTGGAGGGGGAAAAAGAAGAAAAGGATTAAAAAACAACATTTTTAAAAGCATATCCAGCATTATTTTAATAAAAATTAAAATAAATAGTTTTTGAAAGATAAAATAAATAAATCCATTAATAATTTTTTAAATAATATTAATTAAATATTTCAAAATTGAAATCAGATTATTAGAAAAGGAATTTGGGACCATATTAAGAAATATTTTAAAGAGAAGAAAAAATTAGTTAAATTTGTGAATAATTTATTATTAAAGAGGTAGAAAAGTTAAATTAGTAATACCAAAATGATGTTTATAAAGATCTGTATCCAATATTTATAGAGACATTTATTAAGGATAATCCATTTATTTTCTTTTTACCAGCCTTATTAAAAGGATTGGGTTTCTTCAAATTGTAAAAATAATTTTTTTTTGAAAAAATTGAAAGAGTTAGATTTGCTGCTGTTGCATTCAAAGATAAAGATTAAAATGAGATAAATAAATTTATAGAATATATGACTTATTAAAAGGATTTATATACTTTTGAATAATAATTTGAAATCGCAAAGAATATCTATAACTTTTATATTGCATTGCCATAATATGGTACAGATTGTAAACCAATAACAGACCCTTTTCCTGTTTTTAGTTAAATGAAAAGCATCACTGATTATAATTCTACAACTTATAATGCTATTTGTTTTTTTACAACTAAATTTTTTAATTATGATTAAAAAAATTTAATTAAAACTGAAGACCAAATAAAAAATAATGATTTAATGAAGAAAATTTCAAATTTAATGAGTGACAAAATTTAATTTGAAAATACTTAATAAGATAATTATACAGCTTAATATTAAGAATTAAAAAACTATAAAACTGTTTTAATAAAAGAAGTACAATAAATTAATGATTAAAATTTTTAAAATAAATGTATTGAAGTATTTCAAAAATAAGCTAGTAGATAATATATTATGAATGAGATTATTGAATTTAAAAAATAATATAAAATACCTTAGAATGAATTTGAATTGTATTCCACAGCAAAATCTTATTGGATACAAGTTGTAAGCATGGAATTGAGATAAACAAATGACATCACAATAAAAAAAAAAATAGAAGAATATTTCAAACATTTACTTTCTCTTCAACCATTATAATTACTTAATGATAAATTATAAAAGGATATGAATACATTACAAGACCCTTATATAAAAGACTTTTTAAAGAAACATTATCCCAAGTATAAAGAAGATTTTGAAAAAAATCCAAATAAATCAGTTCTATAAACTACATAAATTAAATAGTCTATATTATAAATGTAAGTGATATAGAAGAAATTATCTTAAATAAGATCGGATTCAAAATATAGAGAATTTATAGTTGAAGATTAATAAGTTTTGACTTTTATTAATGAATAATTTAGTCTTTACATGAAGTAACTTTTAGGAAAAGTATTTTAAGTTGCATTAGCCTAAAAACCAGGATATGAATTAAAGGTTTTTTAAAATAAAGCTATATCATAAAATGATGCCTAAATGATAAAATATAGACAAAATTTAGAATTATAAGGAAGATTTGGACCCCAAAAAAATTCTTATCTTGACATATCATTATTAACAAGTAATGAAAACAAGAATTAATTATATTATGAATTATGTGATTATACACCAACTTAAAGGCAAATAGAATTTAGGAATTTCTTAATAGAAATAGAACCACTTTAAGAAGATAAGTTAAAGAACAAAATAAGAAAAAATAAATGGAAAGAAGAACATCCTGAATTAGAGGAGGTTCTAAAAAAAAGAATCAAAAGAGGAGCAGAATTATGGAATTAAGTTTAAGACTTCCTTTGTAAAAGAGAGAGTAATGAAAATATGATGGATTCAGATGAAGAATCAGATAAATATAAGGGTTAATAATAATAAATTGTTGATTTTGTTGAAGATGATTAATTAGACTAAAAAATTCAAGAAGTTCAAAGAAGTTTTGAAAGGCAATTATTGACAGGAAAAAATTATATAAAAACAAGGTAATGTATTAGTTTAATAATTAGATTAAATAATATGGATAATGATAATCCATTATTGACTTTAAAAGAAATAACTGTAAAGACAGTTTAGTTTGTGTTGGAGTAGCATCCCTACTTCAAAAAGAGTAAGATTTTATATAAATCTTATATTTTGTGAGAGTATGAATTTTAACATTATAATAAATAATTAAGTAAAAACTAACTTATAAATAAACAACTATTCCTAAGCTTAATTATAAATGAAATAAATAATGAAAATTAGAATTCATAATTTTTCAGCATTTATGTTTGTATAACAAGAAAATGATTAATGATTTGTTTAGTATATGATTAATTGAAATATATAAATATGATTTAGAATTTTTATGAATAAATTTGATAGTTTAGCTAAAGCTATAAATAAATTATTTGAATTTTAATTTATTTAGTTTAGTATATTCAAATTATGAAAGGATAATTACTAATATTTGAAATTGAAGAATATATTCATTTTTTATTAAATATTATTTATAAAATAAAATGCAATAGTATAATAATGAAGAAGTAATAGAGAAATTCTTATGTAGTAATTTAATAAAATAATGGATAGTGAATTTTACATTGAGGAGGTCTGTGTTGAAACATAAAATGAAAAACTGGAGATTCCAAATGCAGATAAAAATAAAATTATGCATACACTTGTAATTGTATTTTCTTAATATAAAAAGGAAGAAAATTTAAAATAGAAGAATGATTTTTTAAATTCAGAAGAATATTATAATTTCTAACAACTACTTGTTATTTCATTAATTACAATAAACTTTTCTAATGATGATCCCTTTTTTAGACATATAACAATGGTTGTTAAAGCCATTAAGAAGGCAATCAAAAAAAGACTCATTCAAGAGACTAGTTAATTTTCATCTAAATAGGAATATAAAGTATAATATTATTTGTAAGAGTAGATTTAATAATCTTCTCTCTTCAGAATCTATTATTAGGATATTAATATAGGATTTATAACGTCTACACAATAAATTAAATCAACTGCTTTCATTTTTGTCAATAAAAACATATTTAATGAATTTATGAATAAGAAAATGTCAATTGAATAAAAAGACTAATAAGTGAGGTTAACGCTATATTTTTTTGATATCAATATTTAGAAAGAAAAACAAATTTAGTAAGAGTTTAAAAATTAATTTTTACGAATTAATAAATTCAAAAATGAGTTCATCGTATTGAATGAAGAAATAGATCAATAGAAATAAACCACAACATATCATGTCTATAAGCCTATGGATGATTAAATTTATTTTGTTAAAAGAGTAAAAAACAACCTAATTATAGATTTAATTGTTAAATATTCCTTTAGATATTACATTTCAAGATATATTTAACACAAAAAGTTCAAATTAAGATTTCTTCAAAATTTAAGAAGCGCGTACTCTTTAACACGTTTCACATCCAAACATAATCAGACTTTATGAATGGTGGTTGGAAATAAGAAATTACTAATTATTTCTATATACTTAGACAGAATATTGTATATATCCTGGATATATTTCATAATCTAAAAATCTATTGAGTTATTCATATTTTTATATGAATCCAATGGCTTAAGAATAGAAAAGCAAACTTATAAATGAAATTTTATGTTAAATTATAAGTGGTCTTGAGTATTTATAAAAAAAGTAAATAGTTCATGGAGATTTGAAACCTGAAAGTATTATGGTTACAAAAAGTATTACTGGAGATATATAGGTAATCAATTTATTTAACAAAGGTTATGTTAGCAGATTTGAATCATTAATATTCATGTTATTAAGATTTGTATAAGAACTAAACAAAAGATTAAATTGATTACAAATAACAATGTTTATATGCTTTAGGTGTATTATTGATGCATTTGATTCTTACATTCCCTGGAGAACCAACACTCAGAAATAATTATGTTACAAAATTTTAGAATTATGATATTGATGATTCATTAAGTGAATTTGATAAATGGGCATAAAAATCTGTTAAGAATAAACATAAGGAATTTTCATTTTTCTTATATAAAAATTAAATGGAATTAGCAAAATCATTATTAAAGAAATAACAATTTCATGAATTACATGAAGTAAGAACTTTTATTTAAAATAATAAATAATTTGATCATCTATTAGTTTGATTTATTTTATAGTTTTTTTTATAAAAATCAATCAATTATCATGTAAAAGAGAAAGTCTCATAATAAACTTCCATCTGAGATCATCCAATCTAATAACTGCTTTATTATGCCTAAGTCAATTAGGTATTTACCTATTTTCTTCATATTTTAGAACAACATAGACTTCATCAAAAAATATTTAAATTTAAAAGTTTGCTTCTTCTAATAATATTGATGATTCTGATTAAATATATCATTCAGAAATCATAATGAATCACCGTTAATCACTTAATTTATATAAATCTAATTTGGATTTGTAATCTGCACTTCACTATTCTGATGTAAATTAAGCACAACTTTAAAGAATTAACTAATAAATATTATAAAATAACATTGATCTTTAATCAATGTATAATAAATCAGAATAAGAAAATAAATAATTATAAAATGAGCTAATAAATTTAAAAAATAGAATATCATTAAAAGAAACAGAATTTAAGAAAACTGTTGAAAATAATGCATAATATATGAAAGAAATAGCTTAATTGAAAATTTAAATGTAAAAGGTATGACCAATTTTGATTTTAGTTAAATTAAACTATAAATAAGTTATCTGAAGAGAATACATAATTAAAAGAGAAATTAGAAATAAGTTAAAACTTTAGTAATTCTATATCTTAGATATAAGGCCTATCAAGTAGAAGAGAATTCAATTAATAAAATGATTGTAATTTAAGTGGATCAATTATATCTCAAAATTCAAAAATTAAAAATAATAGTTTTTCAATTACAAAGAATAATATATCTGATTATTAAACTTAAATAATCTCATATTAAAATTAAGTAACTGAAAAGAATTAATTAATACTTGGTTTATAATCATAAGTCAGAAATTTAACAGAAGTTTAAAGACAATTAATGTCTCCAAAAAAGAAATATGTTAAAGATTCATAATATTTTCATTTAAATAGTCCTCCACAAACACCAATTGAAAACTTTAATATATAAAATGATAGTAATATTGTAAGTAATATAAAACTAATAAATTTGATTAATGATTAAAAAAATTAAGATTCAACAATTCATAAAACAAGATAATCAGATGAAATTGATGTAAATTTTTTAATTAAATTAGGTTGGACCAAGTATAAAGTCATAAATAACTAATTAAAAATCTAAATAAGAGTTATCTTAAATTTATTAAAAAATTAATTAATCAACTATTTATACAGCAGGTCTGTATTCTAGTTTATTAGATTATCAATATTTATCAAATGTATTAAAAATAATTATAAATTTTAGAATAAATTACTTAGTGGATTAAGTTCAAAGGATTTTATTTAACATTGAAGAAAAAAACTATTGATTATAAATTAGGTAGATAAATAAAATAAAGTTTAGAACAAACTTTAGATAAATAAAAATTATCATCTTTTTTTTGATTTTCCTTTTTTCTTTGTTTATTTTTTCTTTTTAGGATGATTTTTTGTTTAATGTTGTTTTTTATCTCCTGAAGAATCATGTTCTTAATCTGATTCATTTATAACTTTTAGATCACTCTTATGATTACTTGATATCAATTTTTCAAGATTTCTCTATTATTATTTTTTTGCAGAATCTTCTAAATTAATTAATTCTTCTTGATTTTCTTTTTCAATTAAACTTTATAAATCATCATCATTAAATAACTTTTTCATGACTTCTTATTTAAATTTATCCTTTTCCTCTTAACTATATAAATAAAATATATTAATACTGTTTTTATAATTCTTATTCAAAAAGTTAACCAAAAAGTTTCTTTTTCAATTCATCATATGGAGTTGTATTGGTTGCTTAATCAAAATGATTTTTATCCAATTTTTAATTAGAATACTTAAGTAAATCTTCTTATTTTATTTAATTAAAACATTGATTAGAATTATTAATGTCATTTTCTTGATTATTATTCTATTTAATCATATGACATTTAGACTATTATTTACTATCATCAGTTTGTTCATCAATTTATTCAAGATCTAATTGTCTAAATCCAGCCATTAAGTCATCTTATTCATCATAACAATTGAAATGTTATTCTATAATAGATTGGATGTTTTATTTTTCTTCTAATATTCCTGATTGTCTCTATTAATCTATTTTAGGTCTTTCATCAATAATTGCATCTTCATTTTAGACAAATGGTTCTTCAAATATATATGATTTTCTAATTGGAATTTCTTCAAAGAAATTACTTACTGCTGGTGGTACAATTAAACCTTTATTTTCTAGAATATCTAAAGATGCTTAGCGAGATTTATCAGATTATATTTTATCTAAAGATTTTTATAATCTCTAATCACTCTCCAAAATTGGAGGATAAAATAATTCATCATCTAATCCACTAAATTATTTTAATCTAGCTTGCTATTATTTAACAGTTGATATTAAATCTTTAACAAACGAATCTTGAATAGTTTATTAAAAAAGCATATGTTATGTTGTATTTTGAACTAACATCTTTGCTCTTCTAATTATTTCTTTAGCATTTCTCTTAGGTATCTTTTTCTATTTTGAATCATTTGTCACTTATTATTATTAATTAATTTAAAGTCTTTAATTATAAGAGATAGTGGAATCATAGATTTTAGATTTAAGTAGATTTACATTAACACTTAAAGCTCCATAATGTAATACTTTAAGTGTTTCTTCAATATCATCACCTGTTAATCGTACATTAACAATCATTAAAATTTTATTTTCTTCTGTAAAATACTCACATAATAATCTTGTTAATTTACATTCTCTAAATGGTATACGACTATTTTAATCAGATTCATTTTGACATCTCATTTATTTTAGACATTTTCCAAGAACTAATAAAGATTTATTAATATTGCATGCTTCTGTAAGTTATGATCCTTATGTTTCAGCTTTTTTTGCTCTTTCAGATCCAGCCAAATCAACAATACATATTGTTTATTTTCTTTAAATTGTAAATTATTCTTATTAATATAGAAATGAGATTTATATTTTAAATACTGTATGTGATCTACTTGATTAATTATTTAATGTAGTTTCACCCATTTATCTATTTGTTAAGGCTTTATTGAGCAATTCTTTAAATTATTAATTATTAGTTATTTCTTTTTCTACAGCATCTTTAACATAACATTTTTTATCATAGATTTCTTTTAATTGTAATTTAGTTTTATTATTAGCTAATAAATCATAAATTTCTTCATTATAGATTTCTAATGATTAAAATGTGTAATTCACTTCCTTCAAAACATAATCATCATAAGGAGATTCTCCTATTTTAATGACTTATCCATCTATTTCAATAGTAGTTTTATTTAATAGAAATGCTGTTTTTATTTTATCTAGAGTTTATAATGTGAGCGGTAAAATTCCAGGTGCTTCTTATGTACCAATTATAGTATATGTTTTACCAGAATTTGTAACTCCATAAGTAAAAACAAGTACTCCTTTTTCTAATATGTAGGGTTTAATTTGTACATTTTTCAAAAATGTCTTTAATCATTGGAATAACATATTCTTAATGCAAATTTCTCTATGTTGAATTCTAATCATAGATTTAAGAGAAAGTAAAAGTTTTTTAATTGGAGATTTCATTATCATTATTTGTTTCATAGATATCTAGTCTTTTATCTGTAATCATATAATTTACTAAAATGAACTCACAATTAGTACCATAATTTTCACCAACAAATTTGGGACGAATTCTACAAATTACTTCTATACCATTCTAAGGTTCATTCTGATCTAACACACTCAGTGTTTCAGATGTTGGTAAATCTATAGCTGGTTTTTTCTTTATTTCCATTTATTGAATTCAAATTATAAAAATTAAATGGATAATAGGAGTTATGATTAAGAAGAAGAGATTATTCAATAAAAGCCTTCCCAGTCTCCATAAATGATTGAGGAATTAAATTTCAATAAAAGAGAAACTATAACTATGAAATAGATTAAATAACTCTTTGAAGAAACAGAACCTGATTGGGAAAGAGTATTGATTATGTTTAATTTTTAAGATCAAAAACGTCTAAGGGATGTACATCATTATGTTAGCTTTACAAAATATTTTCTCTCTTTGGATTCTATTGCTTCTTTATCTAATGAATTTAGGGAATGTTATAGCTAATTATATGAAATATCCAGTTGACCTTGTATTTATTTTCATTTATCTGTATTGTGTAATATAAATACAATTCAAATAAGATGATTGGAGATCTCCACCATTCAATTATTTATTATATGTAATAATGAATAATATTTTAAGTTTTTTAGATGGCTCATGCAGTCTCAAGGACATTATTATCAATATTTGTTATTTTTAGATTTACATTTATACACTTAGAAATAGTGTATATAATGATTTCACTTGATTTTATAATTGTTTTCTTATGCTTTTAAATTGATAGGAGAAATAAAGATCATTGTTTCTTAGCCAAAGATTATTGGTGGAGGTATAACCAATTCCTTATTCATTTTTAGAGCTCTTTTGATATTTATGCTATAAGAGATTCTAGTAAATTTAGTTTATGCAGTTTATACTTGGATTGAAGTGTTTGCTTGGTTCTTTGCTTATTTTATGATCCTATGTTATGTACTTTGGGAGTGTTAGATGATCAGATATAGGCCACATATGAATTATTACTTCAATGCCTTTTATTTGGGTCAGATCTACTTTGATAGTGATATCATATTTCCATGTTCCTTAATAAAGTTGTTTAGGCAATGAAAATTATATAGAAATATATTTATATATGTTAGATTATCCACAATTTAAATTGCCTGAATTCGTATACTAATCTTTTCATAATTAGCTATTAGATAAAACCTATTTAGAAGATGTTATTTCAACTGCTCTTAATTTAATATTTTTTCATCGTGCACTTGGCCCTGTCAAATTGAATCATATGAGATGTGAACGTTTACCCAAAATTACTCAGGTATTATTATTGTTATCTTTAGTTAAGATGTGGGGAACCTTAAGTTGACAAGGACATCAAGAAATTAATTGATAATATCAATAATGATCCTAACATGATTAATTGCTAATCTCTTTAAATTTCTTTAAAATTTATGGAAGAACAACCAACAACACTCTTATAATTTTTTAAGCCTAAACTTAAAGTATTTGAAGAATGGTTACTTTTATTTTAATTTGGTCTCTCCTCCCTTGATAAAACTTAAGATGATTTTACACATATTTTGACTAAAATTATTGATATTGCCACAGCAAATTATGATCATTTTGATGAATAATTCGATTAATCCCAATAAAAACCATTAAAATACCCATATGAAGTATAATATAAGAATTATTATTTTAGTTAACTTTTAATTTATAGTGATTACATATATATATACATTTTTCAATTATTGTTAACTATTTATTATTATATATTGAAATTATCTACTTTTTATTTGCTAAAATAATTGCATTGATCAATAATTATATATAATTCTTAAATAGTTTAAAACATTTTTAATCTATATCTAATATTTACACATAAAATAATTATTCATAACAATGCCTATTTTATGAAATATCTAATATATATTTTGAGTTATTTTTATCCTAAATAATAGATTATTATTAAGAAATTAAAATTATCAATAGATCTATATAAAGAAAGTAGAAGGATTATAAAAATATATCATTATATAAGAATAGCTATGTTATTAAGATATACACTCTTAGTTTTATTAATTTATAATAGAGGAATGGGTAACTTTTAAAGGTTATATAAATTATAAGTAAATATATATACCGTTTTTGTGTGATAATTAAATAAATGAAGGTTTTAGCTATAATGGCATTATTGCTGGTAGCAGCATACTGTCAATCAAATGAGATTGATGTAGTATTAAAAATGTTGAGTGATTTAAAAAATCAGACAAGCAAACAATTATAATAAATGGAGAGCGATTGGGAAACAACTAGATATGTAATTGATTATATATGAAATTTGAACAGCAAAAATAAGACATTGTAAATGATTTAATGAGATCTGCATCAACATAAAGAGGTGAATGTAATAGAAGAGATTAAGAATGGGCAAACAAAGAAAGAGACATTAGAATAACACTTAGCTATATTAATTGGTTAGAAAAAAGAATAAAAGAGAATAATGAAAGACTTTAAAGATTAGATATCAATAGATGTGAATCTAATTCTAATTTCATTAATGATATTAAAAATTCTAAGAAATCTCTAAATTTAATTGCCTTCCTTAGAAGAGCTGTAAAAAATGCAAAAGAAGTATTAATTAAAGCAATAATTAGACTGATTTACCAACACTTTTGTAATCTGCTTAATTCATTTAACTTAAATCATTTTTAGCTGATGATGGTGAAGAACTAGAAATTACAAATGAAGATAATGAACCACCTCATGTATATGATGAACCTGAAGTTGTTGATAATGCAGATCAAGTAGAATAAGAAGATGATATCCCATAAGAAGATGAAACTACAACAGAAGAATAATCTACTGAAACCTAAGATACCTCAGATGAGGTAGACTAACATAGTTTAGTTGATGCTAATGAAGAACCAGAAGTTTAAGTACCTGAACATCCATTAGAAGCTGAAGAAAAAGCTACAAATGAATAATTAGCAAAGGAAGCTGCTGCATTCAATAAAATTATTGAAAAAGGATAAAAGGCTCCTGCTGAAACTGGTTCAGGCAAAGATTATTCATAATTTACAGTTGCATAATAAGAATTATTAAATTTCTTAGACATTTTAGAAGATTAAGTAAGAGGATCATTTGGAAAGAAATAAGATAATTAAGTTAATTCAGCTATGGGTTACAGTGATTTCAAAGGATTGATTCATAAAGAAAATGAAACATTCAAAGGTCATTTGGTTGCTGAAGATGTTAATCTAGTAATACTTTTAAATTATATATTATTAGGAAAAATTATAAAATTAATTGATTACCATATTATAAGCTACTGCAGCTTGCAAAGACAGATTAAAGAAAATCCAAAACTCAATTGATCTAGCTAATGAAGTATCCTTTTATAATTTATACTTAGGATTTAGCTTCTTCAGAGGCTCACTTTAAATCTGTAACTGAAACTCTCTAAGAAGAGCAAAATACCTTTGATGATGTTTACAGAATTTATTCAAGTTAAGTTGGCTCTCAAAGTACATCATACAAAGGTGATGTTTAAGCCAAAATTACCAACTGATTATTTAGAATCATTCAAATATTACAATTATTATATAAATCGAAATTAATTATATACTTCCTATGGTTGTATTTATTTAATATAAAATATACTTAATTCTTACTTTTTGTGATTTATTAAATAAAAAAACTCAAGGAGAATATTATTTTTAGAAAGTCCTACTTTGATTTATAATTATTAATAATATTATATTAGAAATTAAAATATAAAATTTTGCATAAATGATAATGAATAAAATTCAAATAATAAATATTTACAAATCATCCAAAAATATATTAAAACTCAATTAATTAAAATATAATTCATATCCATATAATCGACCTACTAAAAAAGACAATTAATTGGATTTATTAAGGTTACTTATTTCAAAAAAAACACTTTCAGATCGTTTGGTTACATTATGGAGATGAGTTTTGTATATAAAAAAAGGATTATAATATTTTCTATAGATTACAGTCTGATTGAAATGATTGTGTATGTTTAATGCTAATCAATGATAAGTTAATTTAACTAGCTTTATTGTATTAATTTTGACTATCAAATCAAATGAAAAAACCTAAATAAATCAAGCCAAAGCTAAAAAATAGAATTTATTTTATTTTTGAATTTAATATCTATGATTTAATTGAATAATTAAGAGTGGGAAAATGTTTATATATTTAATGAAAAAATTAATGATTTTATTACTTCTAATACAGATTCAACTTTCTATTGGAGTCAGCACTTCAAGAATTCGATCATAGTAATCATAGACACTTTAAGCAATGTTTCCTGATGCCTCCTTAAAAGCTATTCATAATAAATAAAATATTTACACATTAAAGTATTTTATGGAATATAATGAATAGTATCACTGAAGCATATGATACTGATTTGATTGATGATAATGGAGACATTATTGAGACACCTTATGTATCCTTAGATAATATCGATTTAGATCATTTTATAGTTGAAAATGGTAATTAATTTGACATATAAAAAATAGAATGTGTGGCATTTCCAAAGTATCCCTAATTGACAGAATTAATGGATTATCATATATGGAATTCAAGCGAAAATACGTTTTATTCAGATATTATTACAGCATCAGATTATTCGAACATGTACATAGTAACTTAGGATTTGATGCTTTTATAATTCAAATTAAATACTAGATATTGGGTAGTTTCTTAATAATCGAAATAAATAGACTTAAAATAATATATCGAAAATTAGAACTAATCCATTAGAACAAATGCTTATTTTAGTTGTCCTAAGGTTTAAATGAATTTAAATTTAGGGTCATTTAAATTGTTTGATAATATCTGAATATGGAGCATTTTGGATACCTAAATTTGTTGATTTTGATGATCCTAAAACAGAAATTGTGCCAGAATTAGATAAAAATTTCATTAAAAGGAAGGAGATTCTAAAGATTTCTACTTTTGAGAGTATATTAGCTATTGCAACAGGTGAGGAAGGTGTTGATATTTACAGATGTGGATATAAGATTAGTAGTAATTTTGACAAGAAAATATATTATTTAAGCACAATTAACAATTAATAAATGGAAATTCCTTTGAGTTAATAAATTTATATAATAGGAGTTAAAATATAAGAAAATTTATTATATGTATTAGATGAAGATTTAGGTGTATTTATATTTGATACATCAAATCTATAAAAATGTAATTTGAAAATGAAAATACCAATTCCAAGAACAATTGCCTTTGATTTTTATGGAAATACATTAATGGTAGTTGCAGAAACTGTAAATCATATTTAATATATTTTGGAAATATTCTTAGATTTCAATGCTAATACTTATTATGTTAATAGAGTTTATGTTGATGATTTTACTTTTGTTGATATTTAAATGACAGATGAATATGCCTTTTTTATTGCAGAAGATACTCATATGATAATAAAACATTCTATATTCAATGGGTTTGTAAAGAACAATAAAGAGCTAGTTCGAACTTTCTTTGAAGATTAATTAATTAAGTTCTAGCATTTTACTTCTGTTGTTGAATAATCTTAAAGATATTCAAAAACCATATATTATGTTGGATTATCTAGAAAATCTATTCATGCTTGGAAATTTAGAAATTATAATTCCTTTTTAGCATACAATTTTGATTCAAGAGTAGAAAAGGAATATACATTAAAATCAAATGCAACTGCATGTTATAAAGATTAAGAAAAATCCCCATACATTTAATGTTAAATGATTTAAAAAGTAAAAGTAGTATCTGATGGTACTTTATTGGAATCTGATAGTCTTGCAATAATTATTACAGTTTCTTGTATTTCCTCAGTATATTATAATATTAATTTAGGCAATTTTCATCATATTATTAGTTTTTTTGTGTACTAAATGGAGAAAATTTGTAAGATCAATTAAAATGAAAACTGAGAGCTTGAAAAACATGAAAAGCTATGGAAGGATTTAAGAATAGGAACAGAATGCATGATAAATAAATTTGCATTATATATCAATTATTATATGTTATATTCTTTATTTTTAATTTTCATACTAAAACTCACAACTCATGTAATATTTAACTATTCTTTAATTATATAGATTTGTCAATTTTATAAATGAAGTTTAAAATGTTGATATGTTATTAAAATAAAGAGAGAGTGAGTAACCCTAATATTATGAAATCTTAAATCTTAAATGTTAATTTTTTAATTCAATTTTCATTTCCAATTTCAATGAATATTAAACAACACATAATCAAAATATAGTCTACATCTATCATTCAGAGAATATTGAAGGGTTTTTGATAAATCACAAGAATTTATTTATGATGTCTAAAAACTCATTGTTTTTTTTAATGCTAATAATAGCTATTTTCTAATTAACAATGATCTTTATTAGAGACTAGACTTTAATTGAGCTATAATCTATTTATTAATAAATATTAATTTTATATTTAACATCAAATTAAGTTTATTAACTTTTTATAGTGAATATAATCTTTGAATAATAATCTATAGATATTATTTTCAGAGTTGTTAATAGTAATATTATAAAAATGAACTTAGTAACAAAGTTATTAGATGATTTATTAATTTATTTAATAATCCGTTTATGTAAAAAGAATCAGAAGAAGAGCATTAATTATAAAATTAAAATCCTATTTAAGAATCACAATAAAAATCAAAGACTAAATTTAACATAACATGCTCTTTATTAATACTATTCAACCTTATTATAGGATTCTATTTTGTGAAATATTCAAGGAATGGTATTTATATTTGATTTTGTTTACAGAATACAATGAGGTTTGCTTTTATTTAGGAGGGTTTTCTTATTATCATGGAATTGTATTAATACTATTAGGACTCTATATTTTATTTATAATATGTCCATGTGAATGTTATCCTTGCATCAACAAAGAATATTCTAGTAATATGTTTGGAGTTATTTTAAGCGTTGAATTTACTTAATAAGCAATATTTTTGACTGCTTTGACAGTATTCAAATTATTTAATTTTTAAGATTGTTTATTTTTACTAAGAACCTTGTGGATTACTTGTTAAATTTGTATTGATTTATTTAATAATAAATTTATCATTAGTATTCTTTAGTATAAGTGTCGTATTATGGATAGCTTTTCATTCTGATGAATTTAATATAATTAAAACATTAACTGAGTGAATCAATTCTATATATATATAAATTAAAACTAATACATAATTTTATAATTAGTTTCTTTTTATTTTTGGCTAAAAATTTACAATTATTCTAAATAAGCTAATACTTAAATAATTGTATAATAACTAAAATTTATCTTAGAATTCTTTAAAATTATATTATTATAGTTTTCTTTCTTCTAAATTTCATAGCCTTTTTCTTAACAATTATATATTATATATATTCATGTGATAGGAAATTATGAATTATAAACTGTATGAGAAATAAAAATAAAAATTATCCTTATATATATATATAGATATTCAAAATGCAATGAAATAAATATAAATATAGAGTTTTATGATTGAGCTAATCACAATTCATTTACAAGAGCTCTTTTCAATTTGTTATAATTTATTCTGATTTAGAGATTATAGAATAAGAAGAGTTTATTTAAGGTCTTTCTTCATTTAATAAAAATGATAACATACTCCCAGGTTCTTTGACTTCTGTTTCTGGACTTGTTTCTATGCTTGTATGTTTTGTTAGTAGATATTGATTTGTATTGTGAGGGGAACTTAGATTTTTCTCATTTAATATGATCATGTGTATTATGTGTTTTTTTATCTTTTTCTTAATGCTTCTTTAAATTTGGGGCTTCATAGTATTTATGCAAAGATGGAATATGTTAGGAGGTTTTGAGGAACTTATTGAATTATTTTCTTTTATTTGAAGAATTCCAAAACAAAAATTTGCATAAAAGAAGAAATTCAAAGGGGGTCAGGTGCTTTTCGAAAATTAAAGCCATATACGAATGAAGTAAAGAAGTTAGTTAATTTTCCGCAGCCACATTAATTAAATCAAGACCATTAAGATAAAATAATTTAATATTGAACTTCCCAATAATTGAAATCACTCTAAAATTCTCGTTTTATTATTTAATTTGAAAAACATTTTTATATGTGACTCTTAATTCACTAATATTTCTTTAATTATCTACACAATATATATTTTCTAAATTAAAATAATTTAGGATCATAATGCTTTTATGTTTATTAGATAATGAAAAAAATTCTAATATAATGATCTTTATCTAGATTTGATATTTAATTAAAAAGAAAAGAAATAATATCAAGCAATTAATTCAAAATTGTTCAATAAATATAATTGTTATATTTTAAAGTGTATAAATAAATTTTTTAGCTTTGATTTATGAAGTTATATTCTCACACATAAACAAAATACTTATTTTTTTTTAGTTTTATGCTATTTAATTAAATTATCTAGATAAAATGACATCTAATCTAGATTAAACAAATTTATAAGTAATTTTTTATAATTATGGAATGTATTTCTATTTTTTTAATTTAGTAATAATATAATGGTGTCCTTAAATATTAGCCTTAATTAAAAAGAAAACAAAATATGATCCGTTAATATATATATACAAAATCAATTATTTAAAGAAATTTTTAATCTAAATATTTAGTATTGAGATGAAATAAAAATTAAAAAGTACTCTACGCTCTTAACATTTAGTCTTTGAAACAAATATACAAAAAAAAAAATAAAAAATAAAATCCATATAAAATAGAAATATTCAATTTGTAATTTGCAAATATATTTTTATTATCTATTATTAGTATTGAAATAAAGACTAAAATTGAATAAATATATATTCACAAATAACAAATTGAATATATAGTTATCAAATATATATAGCGATTAAATTTATAATTTATGTAAAGGATAAATGTTCTTGAATTTATATTATTAAAGATAGAGTTTAGGAAAATTCCAAATAAAATCTGAGAATTTTACCTACATAAGAAGATATACAAAAATTATAAAGATCACCATTATGACTATTGTGGAAATAATATAAATTATATTTGAGTAGTTTATTATAGGATACTTAAAAAGGAGAGGGTATTTTGCTATTTTAGTAATCTAAAGCATAATTATTCATTAAGTAAAATAACAAAGTAATTAGATAAATATATCAATTTAATTTTTTCATTAGTTCAATTAATTGCTATATTTAATTAGAAATTTGTATAAATCTTTGTTTATGATGTTTAAATCATTATTTTTTTTTTTATGGTAAAATAAACAAAAAAGTTCAGATAGAGAAGCAGAAAATATGATAAAATTACATAAGAAGAGAGAGAATAAATAGTAAAAATGAAAGAAAATGGTTCAACTTGTAGAGAGATTAGTGAACAAATGAAAAAAAATATTAAAACTATATAATCAATAAAATCAATATAGAAGAAATCAGAATATGCTGATTTAAAGAAGGCTTTAATTGAATATGGATTTTAAAAAATAATGGAAATGTAATAATTAGATGTATATTTAATGATTAATTTTAGAAAACGAATTCTAAAATAATTGGTAAGTAAGTGAATAAACTTATTAAAGATCAATTGGAATAGAGGACTTCAAAGTTTTGGAATTTAATTCCTGAATAAAAAAAGTTCTCTAATAAGAGAAGAATTATACAATAAATAGTATTAAATATAGTTGAAAGAGTTCAAAATACAATTTAAAAAAATAATGACAGTCATTAATAAACAAATATCATTACAAAAGAAGAGTTTGAAGAAAAAAAGGCTGAAATTCCTATTAATTTATTTGGATTAACAACACCTCTCCATATAGCAAAGGCATATTATTATCTAATGTCTATGTGTATACAACCAAAAAATAATTATGCCTTTTTATTGTGATCTATATTTATAATTAACTTCAATATTATTGAATGTTTAGTTTATACAGTTTGATTTTATATAGATTGATTGCGCAATTAAATAACATAATTTTGATAGTCAATTCCATGCAATTATTAGTTAAAAATGTAAAATATTTTAGATGTTCTTTTTCATTTATAATATTATCAATTTATTAAATAAAATATGGATTTATACCACTACTTATTTAAATTCATTATAGTTGGAGATGCCAGTGTAGGAAAGTCTTGTATACTTCTTAGATACACAGAGAAATAATTTAGAGATGAACATGATACAACAATAGGAGTTGAATTTGGATCATAATTATTAAAGAAGAATGATAAAACATTGAAAATATAAATATGGGATACGGCTGGTTAAGAATCATTTAAATCAATAACAAGATCATATTATAAAGGGTTGATATTAGTTTCTATATTTTAGTTCAATAGGTGTACTATTAGTCTTTGATATTACCAATCGAGATTCTTTTCATAATGTCTAAAAGTGGTATAACGATGTAAATGATCAGGCAGCATCTAATTGTACAATTGTATTAGTTGGCAATAAAACAGATCTTGAATCATAGTAATCCAATACTTTAAACTTAGACGTAAGATTACAACAATTGAAGCAAAAGCTTTAGCAGATTAATATAAAATGCAATATATTGAAACATCTGCCAAAACCAATTAAAATATTGATTTTCTTTTTGAAACAACTGCATCATAAATTTTAGATAAAATTGATAAGTAATTAATTGATTTTGCTAATGAAGTATTCATTCAAATAATATTATTAGGATAGTGGTATTAAATTAGGGACTTTTTATAAATAAGGTAAAGAAGGCAATAAAGATAAAGATAATGATTGTAAGTGTTGAAGATCTTAATAAATTTATATCAATTATAATAGATCTTTTAATCTAAAGTGTTTCCTAAATTCTCAATTTGAATAATTAATCTAGATAATTTCTAATTATTTATGGATTCTAATATACGCATTATTTTTTTAAACATTTAATAATTAATTTATTCATTAATTAATAACGGAACTCTCAATTAATTTTTTTAGATTCATAACTATATCAATACACAAAAAAAATTATTAATTTTATTATTATGAATAGTGAATCGAGTTCTTCAGCTAGACCGAAGAAATACGATAAAATAAGTGATGAAGAGCGCTGCCTCATCATGGACTTAAAATCACAAGGAGTTAGTTGTCAAGAGATAGCTAGATAATTGGATAAAAATTTAAAGACCATCCAATCTGTTTAAGATTATGAAAAAAAATCAGAGTACAGGGATTTTAAAGAAGCTGTCACTCAATATGGAATCGACTGCTTACTTTAAAACACTTCCATAAAAGTATCATATTTTTTTTATTAAAGTCTATGAATGAAAAAAAATTAAGAAAATTAATCATCAAAACAGTTAAAGAGGTCATACCACCCAAAAATGCATCTATGTTTGGCCACTTAATCCCAGCCAATAAGAAAAACTCTAATAAAAGAAGAATCATTGACTAAATCGTCGATAATATCTTAGATATTATTCAAAAATATTTAAAATCAGGAGAACTTCCCAATCTATCTTACAATAGAAGTCCCTCTAAAAGTGATACTTTGTACTAAGATTGTTCTAATCAATCTTATTCCACAAACAATATCATCCAAGAAGATTCATAAGCCCTACATAGTCACTCAATATATGATGATTGTAATCATGAATTCCTAACATATGATTACATAGACTAGGATGTTGCTGAAATGATTGTTGAATTTGAAAACTCCTCTTTAAATTTCTCAAACAACGACAGGTTTGAAAAATATATAGAAGAGTTTTCATCTCCCTATTTCAGCAATTGAGATGTCAATTTTACTTAGAAATTGATATCAATATAAACATATTATAAATATATACAACACATATTAATATACTTTATAGAAGGATAGAGTACTATAGAATATATTTATTCAAATAATATTTGCTCTTCTATCAATAAAATGAGATGTATCTTTTTATAGAATTAACAATTAATATCAAATTTATATTATAAATAATATTTTTTAAGAGAAATATATATATTATCAATAATGTAAAGCTCTTTTATATATCTTTTGGGAGGAATAAATTACTTTAAGCCTCTTAACTACTAAAAAATAGAAATTTAATTTTACTTTAATAAAATTTTATATTATTATATTTAATCGTTAAATGCAAATGCATAAATTTATTTTTCATTCTACTAACAAAATTATCACTCCTATAATATATTTTTTTGTCTTCTTTTTTAAAATTTCACAGAAATACTTATAAACAAGTTAATAATTAATTCATTTCAGATGATGTGATTTTATAATATTTTAGAAACATATTTATTCAAAAATTCTTTATAAATGTACTTGTATGCTTTAATTATTAATAATTCTTAAAGATTTAGATATTAAAAAACTTCCTTAATAATTAAAATTTAATGTATAGAAGTAATATAAAAATTATATTTCTAAGTATTTTTAAATACTCTAAAATTATGCTAATATAATGTATTTTATTAGCTTGAATGCATTTATAATTTAATTCTAATCAATAAATTAAATTTTGCATTTTTGTAATTTCAAATTTTTTTATTGTCAAGGATTTCTCAAATTTTTGTATTTGTTTAATCAAAGGTTATTAATATCAACTATTAAATAATAGAATCCTTGATAATATTATTTTAAAATAATGAATAAGAAATTTTAGCATGACTTAATTGAATTAAAAAAAATCATATATCTAAATGTTTGTATATGTTTTTGCAAAAGAACTAATCACTCATAGAATTTAAATTCAAAATGTTATTTGTTTAAGGTTTGTTATCCATCATAAAAATAATTCTTATGAATTAATATAATATATATCATTCCTTTGGAAGACCTCCCTCTGGTGTTTATTTTCCTAACAAAGCTTTGTGAATATGAGGGATCACACCACCACCTGCAATAGTGGCTCTAATGAGAATGTCGAGTTCTTCATCACCTCTGATGGCTAATTAAAGATGTCTTGGTGTAATTCTTCTAACTAAGAAGAAAGTTATTATTTAGAATTACCTTTAAAGTCTTTTGAAGCATTTCCTGCTAATTCAAGGACTTCTGCTGTCAAATATTCTAAAATTGCTGATGCATAAACAGCAGATGTTGTTCCTACTCTGTTTTTGGCAGATACTCTTTACTTCAAATATCTATGAATACGACCAACAGGGAACTTATAATTGATTAATTTTCTACTTAAAGTCCTGCCTTTAAAGACCTAGATTAAGGGGCTTTCTTATTCTTTCCTTGTCCAAATTTTCCTCCTTTTCCACCTTTTCCACCTTTTCCGCCTTTTGCGCTTTTTGCTATGCCACTCTAACAAATATAATTGATACTTTACCATTTTGATGCTAATTTATTTTTAAGCATTAAAACTATTATATACTTGGTTTAAGAATAGATAAACTCAAATTTTGATTGGCTCTGCCTTTAAATTTTGGATAATCGAGTAAGAATAGCATGTCCTCTACACAGCTTTTCAAATCTGAATTCTAAATTGACTTTTATATAAAATTGTTTCAGCCTTATCAAATTATTATGCAATTATATAATGGAAATAATTATTTCCTTATTAATTTATAAATAAAACTAATCATATTTATATTCTATGATTGTACAAATAGATTTGAATTGACTATGTTAAACATAAACTTTGTATTACTATTTTTCTTAATATTTTTTTCTGTTTGACATTACTATTTCACTTATTATATATAACATTTTAGACAAATAAACTTTGAGAGAGTTATCCTATGACTTTATTAGATTTTAAAGTTTTCTCAGATATTTGAAGTTTGATATTAAATGAAAACTAATGTGAATAAAAAAGAAATTTCAACCTTTTTTTTGAGATCATCTAAATATCTTACTTAAATCATTTAGAGTTTAAAAAGTATTAATATTCAGGTCTAATATAAATATATCATTTATAGATAAGCCTATAATTTTATGTGTTTAAATATATATATAAGTTCTTAAACTAAATTAAATAGAAAATTGATTCCAAATTTTAAAAAGTTCCATTATCATCATTATTATATAGGAAATGATCATTTTTTTAAGGAAAACCTCAATTTAAAGAAGAATGATATGTTTCTGCTACAAAATTTGAAATTTGAAATAATATTAGGAATCATAATAATAATAATATGAACTTAAACAGAGAAGATCTAAATATAATTATATAAAAAATGAAATAGAAATATAATGTATACATATTTATAATTAATGAAAAAAGATAAAAATATTAATAATAAAAATATAGTATTATCATAATTTTCTTTTAGTTAGATCTTTATCTAAAAGATGTAATAATTAATATTGAAATTCTTTACTAATTATTTTTGGTAGAGTGAATTTTAGAATTTGTGCCAACATAATTTCTTCATCATTTTTACCTGGAAAGGGTACTTTTCCACAAAGAATTTAATATAGTAAAACTCCTAGAGCCCAAATATCAGCTTTTTTTCCATCATAAGGCTTTTTTTGAAAGATTTCTGGTGCCATATATGCAGGAGTACCACAAAAATCTGAGCATAATTAATTTTCTGATGCAAGTCCGAAATCGATTAGTTTAACTTATTAATTAATTATCATAACGTTATCTGATTTTAAATCTCTATGAAAGATATTTTTGGAATGCAAATATTTAATACCTTCTCGAATTTATAGATATATTTGTTTGGCTTCTTTATCTTATAATCTTCTATTTGGTTAATCTTATAAATTGATTTTTAAACTTACTTTTTAAATAATTTGTTAATGTATGTCCATCAATTAATTCTAAAACTATTGTATTCTTATATATTCCAAGAAATTTAACAATATTTTCATGATCTAACTTTCTCAATATCTCTGTCTCCTTAAATAATAGTTTTTTTTATTCTGATTGTAATAGATTAGAATTATACTTTTTAATTGCTACCTAAACTATGGTATTTATTATTTTTACTTAAGAATCAGTCATTCTATCATAAGCTTTAAAAACAGTTGCAAATGCTCCAACAGCCAATTTAGATAAAATTTGATATCTTTCAAATTTAATAGGTTTATTTGATTCTTCAGTCTTACAAACAGTATAGCTTCTTTAAAATTTCATTGATTGAATAGTATTTAATAAAGTCTATTTCTTTTCAACAATTTATGTTGCTTATTATAATATTTATTATGGATTTTAAGGTTTTCTTCTAAAGGCTGATTATACCCGTTAAGGTTTATTAGGTGTAGGACAAGTAATTGGTTTTTAGAAAGTGAATTTATTGAAGAGATCCTCAACAATTTAATCAAGAGTTTACATAAATGTTATTATATTGATAATTTAATAAATCAAGATAAGAGTCTCTTGTCTGAAGTAAAGAGATTTTATTTTAATATTCCAATCTAAAATTCAAACTACCATGCTTTGATCTTTAAGACTTAACTTGATTAAGCTGCTTTATAATAATGAAATATTATATAACACAAGGCAGTCTAATTATAATTAAGAATATTTTTACCTTTAAAATCATATTAAATATGCAAAATACTATAGTTATTCTGACAATAGGATCTCCTGCTTCTCCCCAAGTGGGTAAAGTTTTATCTGTACCACTCCACCAATTCTATTATAATATTAATACAAAATTACTTTGTAGATTGCTATCCAAAAAATATCTAAAACTATGCTAAAAACTGTTATTGCCCCTACAATTTTTAAGTATTCTGGAGTAAAACAATCTCTACTGATAATCAACAAGTACAAAATCCCTAATAAAATCTATAAGACTATAATCTGAAGTTTACATCCACATAGGCTGGTCTTGCAAAAC